GTAATTTAATATGGGCATCAAAAACATATGATTGTCCAATTGCCTTTCCAGGTCCATGAAAGCTAGAAGCCCCAAAATAGCTGCTTTTATTAATGAGATCATAATAGTGTAATAGGTACCTTCTCAAATCTCCCCTTCATACTATATATCATATCCAACAGTTCCTCAAATACATTTCTAATGTATCAGAATTGGGAATGAATGAGGCAAAGGGAAGAGTAAGAAAAAAAAGAGAAATGCAGTAAAATTGTTTTTCTGTTAAAGAATAGAACCCAAATATGAAAAATAAAATAGAGCACTATCTCTAACCCAGGTACTAATGACAGTGGGTTTTCATTTTTAAAAGACTCAACCACAGTTTTAGATTTAGAAAATATAATATGTATTTTTAAAACTTTAAGTGTAATTTTTATCGAGGTAGTATATACATACAAAAATTATGCAAATCATAAATGTACTCCTGGATAAATTTTCACAAGTTAGTCACACTGCGTCACTACCACCCAGATCAAGAAATTAAACATTCCTAACAGCAAAAGCCTTCCTGTTCCTGCCCCCAGTCACTACCTCTACCTTCCATAAGTTAACAACTTTCCTGGCTAGTTTTGCCTGTGTTGAAATGGGGGTGGGGGGGTGGGGGGGGGGGTGGTGTGTGTGTGTGTGTGTGTGTGTGTGTGTGTGTGTGTGTGTGTGTCTGTGTGTGTGTGTGTCTGTGTGTGTGTGTGTGTATGTACACACACACACACACACACACATATATAAATAAATACCACACAGGATGTACACCTGGCTTCTTTCTTTCAGTATTACATTTGAGAGGTTCATACATGTTGTTGCATTTGGCAAAATCCCATTCATTCTCATTGCTGTACAATTGTAAATTAATTTATCCACTCTAACTGCTGGACATTCAGATTGTTGCTATTTTGGAATTCTTATGAATAATGCTGCTTATAAACATTCTTGCACATGTCAATATGATATAGCAATATAGTTTTTAAGATAACATTAGCTGATCTCTGCATTATAAGCAAATATTTTAAAATTTTTAAGTGATATTTTTATTAAATCCTTAGTCAGAAATTATAACTTTATTCATTTACATTTTAGTTTTAATGTCACTCATCAAACACTTGAACCTAAGGATTCAGTTGAGTCCTGAAATCAGATATGAATATAAAATTACCTTTTCACCTAAATATAGGTAACAAACACAATAGCAATAGCAGTATTTGTGGCTTCATCACTAACAGAAATCAGATATTTTTATATCAAGTTACTGCTATTGCAAATATCTCAAAAATATCATTTATACTCATTACCACTTTGAAAATAGAGCAATGAAACTACTACCACTAGCTCTCCACTACCTCCTGATATTTAATGACCTACTTAAGTTATATATTCCTACATCACAAAGTTGGTTTTTATAGTTTAATTATTATATTCAAATATAAGTGGTCTTTTAAAAATGCTGTTCTGAGAAGGATCTATAGGCTTCACCAGACTACTAAAGGGATACATGGAACAAAAAAGATTAAGAACCTATGTTTTATTAAACTAAAATGTAGGTGTAATATAGAAGGCATAATTTCCAAAAGCCATTAAAGCTCTATATTACTAATCAAAATAAGGCCCAGCTCACTGGAAAAAATGTACCTGAGTCTTGAGGAAAAAGGAATGTAGAATTACAGGTTTTATAAACTAGCAGAGGCTCATTATGGGGATAGAGAGACCAATCTTATGGAATTAAAAGAAGAAAAAGGAGGAAATGAACCTGTGCAAAGTCTGGGCAAGCAGTTAGAGATAGTTGAGCATAGCTAGTCTAACTTCAAAGATAACTGTGGTCTAAAACTCAACTCTCTCTCTGCTTAATGCTGTTGAAATTATCTTACAAAGGAAAAGAGCCTGTTTCACATTTACACACAAAAAAAGCAGTATAAAATGAAAATGTTTTATTTAGATTTTACCACAGTATCTTCACTGGCTGAGGACTTCTATCAACCTGTCATCTTTACACCAACTCCTGTCATCATCACTGACGTCAGTGTTAAGCGACAAACTGCATTTCTTAACTCTGCATATAAGGATACCTGATGAACTTTAAAACAATACTCATGTCCAGATCCTACCTGCAGATAATTATGACTTAATTACCTGGGATGGGGCCCAAAGATTGGTATTTAAGAGTTCCCTAAGGTGATTTTTAATGTGTATCAATGATTTAAAGCCTGTAATCTAAATCACTGATCCAAAATCTAGCCTCAAAGTTTTCTTTATCTCAACTCCAATTACCTTCACACACCTTCTATTCCCATCACCAGACTCTGAATGTCAATCACCCAGAACTGTTTCATCTTGGAAGCTCTGCATTCTAAAATCCCAGCTACCTTTCTGCCACGGTCTGGACTTCAAGTTCACTAAGCCCTTCCTTTCCTCAGCCCCTCACTTCCTTCAATCCACTGTCCCTCTCCCAGCCTTACTCCCTTTCTTAGACAGCCTATACCACATAATATATTACCTCAATAATTCCCTGGGTCAGAACCTTCATATCTTTATCTGCCTAAGTCCACCACTCATCCTGGAATCTTAAATCAATACAACTTGCTTTCCTCACTCTTAAACTGGGGTACTTAGGTAATAAAGCACACCATCCTACAGACTGGTGCCCCTATAAAATTTATGGTGCACAAACATACTGGCCCTCAGCAAGGCTTATTAAAACACTCCTGGTCAGGAGACATGTGCAATATATGCTCCAAAACTTCAGTGCTGGCCTCAAGTGTTCCTCCACCTCCTCAACTCTGAATAGATAATCTTGCCACCTCTTACTTCAGGAAAAAACAAAGGCTATTAGATATGAATTTTCTCAAATCCATTCTCATGTAATGACCCAACTAATGATCTGGAGGGCCCTTCTTATTGGTCTTCATGACACTGATATAACTGATTATTCCCATCTTAAAACTCTTCCCCAGCTTGTTTGAACCAGTTCCCTTACTAGCAATAGCCTCCTAGCAGGTCTCTCTGCTTCCAGTCTTAACAGCTCTTTAAGCCAATTTCCATTGCAATATGATTTATGATATAACATAGCATGCATACATAATACAGAATGGTATACTAAAGGTTTCATATCATAACTTCTCCCATGATTTCACCATGAGTATTTCCCATTATTGTCTGAAAGTATATTTCTGTATATAAATCTCTACCTACATTTTATGGTTTCTAAAACAGTTTACTGGGTTTTATAAATGTTGTACCATCCAATACTTAGTATTGTTTTAAAGATTACAAAGTTTACATATAAAATACCTCACCTGTAGTAAGCAGGCACTAGTTAAATGTGTAATTACTATAAATTACCACTTAAAGCAAGTTATCCCCTCTTTTTGCCTTGTTTTATAATTTGGACCCCTGCAAATGCGTTAAATTAAAAAAACAAACAACTAATTAGAAAAGAAAAAAAGGCAACCCTTCAAAACTAAAAACAAACTAAAACAAAACCAACTATATATCCAACAATATATCCAATTGATGGCATTATCACAGAGAAATTCTTTTAATTATCTTTGAAAAATAATTCCTAATGTGGTATATCCTGGAGCAGGTAGGGGTACCTAAATACAATTAAAAAAAAAAAAAAAAGAAGTCATCCATTTTCTCCTCCTTGCATTAGTCCCAATCATGTTTATCAATATCACTTGTTTGATGTCCTAGGTAAACTCAAAAATATTTTTATCAAGTTGAAAAAAATTCTAAAATTGGGATTTTAATTAAAAACAAAAATAAAGTAACCTGAAATCACATATAGTGACAATTAAATCTGCTAATTCTGAAATATGGTAAGCCTCTTCATTTTTGCCATCTTAAATCATTTTAGTTCAACCCCAATCTAAGCTGTAACCTAGGCCACATGACAACCTTGAAGGCAACATCACCCATCCAAGTGGGCTGTCAGATTTGCTTATAACATATAAACAACTAATATATGAACAAATATTTGTGTCCTTTGATGATGTATAATGAATGCATAATATATGCATACACCATGACCACAAACCCAATCCCCGAGTACTTAGAATGGACCTGTGCAAAAGTTTAAGATTAATGGCTTCTTGACCTTCCCCAAACCCTTTGTTGGGTCTCTATATAGGGTTCTGAGGAGTGTATATACTCATTTTGTAAACACTGAGCTCCTACCATGTGCCAGATACTGGATATAATGCTGGGAAAATAATAACAAGCAAAACAGCAAGCTCCTTGACGAAAGACCCAGTTCAAAATTCCCAATTCCCAGAGCCACATGGAGACAAGCAGTAAGAAAGCATACCAGAAGCTGTATGCCCACCTGTCTCTGAGCAGCCCTTAGTTGAAAATTTCATATATCCAATTGCAAATATTTTTAGGAATATAGAAAAACAGGTGAGGCCCTGCTGATGTGGCTCAGTGGATTGAGCACAGGCCTGTGAACCAAAAGGTCTCTGGTGCAATTCCTGGTCACGGCACATGCCTGGGTTGCAGGCCAGGTCCCCAGATGGTGCCATGCTAGAGGCAACTGATGCTGTATCTCTTGCACATTGATATTTCTCTCCCTCTCTTTCTCCCTCCCTTCCCCTCTCTCTAAAAATAAATAAAATATTTAAAAACAAAGAGGAAAAAAACATAGGTGACAGCTAATAACAGGAACAGGTGCTTAAGTACTTCTTTGTTAAGTGATGGACTGACCACTATCAAACCTAAAATTTTCTTCATTAATTAAATTCAATATAGACCCTTCATTTTAGAAATTTAAGCAAGAAATATAAAATATTGATTTTCTACATAAATAAAATGTTAGCTTTTATGCACTTTCAAACGTTTAAAAGATAAGCTTACTCTATATTTAACCTAAAATGGCAAATTTTTGGCACCTGAAGATTTTAAGAGGCCTAGTTTTGATATACCAAATTTATTTAGACTCTAGGTTTTGAATTATTCTACATGAAGAAGCAACTTACACTGGGGTGATTTCGAGGAGGTGCTCGTTCTCTTGGAAGCCTTTCATAGTCATGTCGTCCCTCAGACCACATTTCATCTCTTCTGTAAGCCACTAAAAAATAAAAAAGAAACCAAAGAATTATATATTTTTATGCCATTAGGAAGTAACAGAGATGATGAAGGAGTAAATGATTACTTTCCAACACAAATATTTCCCAGAGATACTTAAGAGGAAAAAAAAGGTCACTGACCAAAAGGAAAAAAAAGAATGATTAAGGCAATTCTTCCAATTTTGAAATTTTCTTAAAAAAAACAAAAAAAAACAAATAGAAAGCCCCACCATCCTTCAATTTCCAAGGATAAATTTTTAACCTTCTAAGAGCTTGTCCCCATCGATTGTGAGAAGAACCATAAGACCACAAATATTTCCTCATTCTCGTATAGTAAAATTTAGAAAAAAATCATGAATAGTTTATAAAACTGATTTGTAAAGATACTCCTATTTCTTGGTGGATGTTTGTATAACATTACATTTTTGCTTTTCTATATTCTTAGGACTTACGTCTTCTCTCTATATGTTTAAAAGTGATTTTGATTGAAAAAAAGTGTTAAATAAACAATCTGGTAAAAGCTTACTCAACAAACCCTGAAACAAACCACCTGTTGTTTTTAATGATGTACATTTTAATGAAAAGTCCCTCTCATAAAATTTGAAATTAAAAGTTCTGTCAGCGCTCATGTACAGATGCAGACATAGCTTTCCTACTTTTAGAGCTGACATGTTCTGTGTAGAGGCTAATACAGTACATTACAGAGCCAGAAGAAAACAGAATCTGTGAACACGCAGAAAACAAGGTAAAAATGGCAAACAGGAAAGATGAGAACAGACTTCTGGTCAAGACAGAGGCATAGGCAGACACACTTTGCCACCTCACGCAACCATAACAAGAAATACAACTAAATCTCAAAACAAATAATACCCACAACTGTCAGAAAAGCGAGCTGTATGCAAGTCCAATAACCAAGGATTTAAAGGAGCCACATTCACCAAGACAAGTAAGAAGGGCGGAGCCGCGGAAACAGGTGGAGAGGCAAGGAAATGAAGTAAGGCAGCAGGCAGCAGTGGCACAGGCCCAAGCAGTCCCACATTCACATGTGGTAGATAAAATTCAGGACGGATACCTTGGGAGCCAGCGATCCCAGCCCCAGGCCAGACCAAACAGCCAAGGGTTCTAGCAACAGGAAGATAAATCTCCATAACTTCTAGCTGTAAAAACCAGTGGGGGCTGGGTGGCAGAAGAAACTGACAGATTTTCAGGAAACTCTGCTTAAAGGGCCCACATGGTCTTAAAGCATACACAAACCCACACATCCACCCAGGGATTCAACACCAAGGGCAGTGGCTGGAAGAGCGCCAGTCGAATATGGGGAGTGGGTGCAGTGACTGGAAATGGGACGGCTACTGGGCAAACTTCCACAAGCCAGGCAGCAGCACAATCCCCTCTCTGAACCCTCACACAAAGTGGTGAAGCGGGTTGCCCCACCCTGGAGATTACTAACGCTATGTCCCACACAATTTATAAGTGTCTTTTTGACAATAGGCCATGCTACTAAGACAGGGAATCAAAACAGCTCTACCTAATACAGAAACAAACACAGGGAGGCTATCAAGTTGAGGAGACAAAGAAATATGGCCCAAATGAAAGAAAAGAACATAACCCCCAAGAAAAGAAGTAAATGAAATGGAGACGGCCAACCTATCAGATGCAGAGTTCAAAACACTGGTGATAAGTATGTTCAAAGAACTCAGTGAGTATGGCAACAACATAAAGGAAAAAATGAATGTTACACTAAGTGAAATAAAGAAAATTCCACAGGGAACCAACAGTGAAGGGAAGGAAGCCGGGATTCAAATTAGACTTGGAACATAAGGAAGAAATAAACATTCAACCAGAACAGAAAGAAGAAATAAGAATTAAAAACAAAAAACAAAAAACGAGAGTAGTATAAAGATGACTCTGGGACAACTCCAACTGTGCCAACATCCGAATCACAGGGATGCCAGAAGGAGAAGAAGAGGAGCAAGAAATTGAAAACTTATTTGAACTAATAAGGAAATAAGACTTCCTTAATTTGACTAAGAAAACAGACATACAAGTCCAGAAAGCACAGAATATCCCAAAGAAGTTGGATCCAAGGAGGAACACACAGAAACATACCATAATTAAATTACCCAAGATTAAAGATAAGGAGAGAATCTTAAAAGCAGCAAGAGAAAAGCAGAGAGTTACCTATAAAGGAGTACCCATAAGATTATTAGCTGATTTCTCAAAAAGAACTTTGCATGCCAGAAGGGACTGGCAAGAAGTATTCAAAGTGATGAAAAGCAAGGACCTACAACCTAGATTACTCTATCCAGCAAACCTGTTATTTAGAATGGAAAGTCAGATAAAGTGCTTCCCAGACAAGGGAAAGCTGAAAGACTTCATCATCACCAAGCCATTATTACATGAAATGTTAAAGGACCTTATTAAAGAAAAAGAAAAAGATCAAAACCATGAACATTAAAAATGTAACAAATTCACAACTATCAGTAACTGACTCTAAAAAAAAAGGAAAGAAAAAAGAAACTAAGCAAACAACCAAAACAGGAACAGAATCATACGTACAGAGATCATTTGAAGAGTTATCGGCTGAGGAGGGGAAGGGGAAGAATGGGGGAAAAGGTACAGAGATTAAGAAGCATAATTGGTATATACAAAATAGGGGGATGTTAAGAATAGTATAGGGAATGGATAAGCTAAAGAACTTATATGCGTGACCCATGGACATGAACTAAGAGGGAGAATGCTGGAGGGAAAGTGGGTACCGGGCAAAGGGGGGAAAATTGGGACAAGTGTAATAACATAATCAATAAAATAAACTTAAAAAAAAAAAAAAAGAAAGATGAGAACAGGGTGCAGGAAACAGCCCAAAAGGTCATTTATATGAAATGGTAGGACAGTAAATCAGCGGTTGGCAAACTTTTTTGTAAAGGACCAGGTAAGTATTTATGGCCTTGTAGTTCACAGGCCTGTGTCAGAACTACTCAATTCTACTATTACAATATGAAAGCAGCCACAGGCAATGCACATAGATGTTTGGGTGTGACTGTGTTCCAATAAAATTTTACTTACAAAAACAGGCAAGTGGCCTACAGGTAGTAGCTTGATAGCCCTAAAGGAGATGACAAATGGTTAACAGAGAAGAACCAGGAGAAAATGAAGTAATCACAGCTCAGGTTCTAGACCAAGAAATGTGAACCATCCTGATAGGTGGAAGGATGATCATGAGCAACAAGTGAAAATGGGAAAGCTACAAAGTTAGGGCCTTTTCATATATAGAAAATAGTGCAACAAGTCCATAGGCATAGTCTCCAGATTTGTGAAAAAATGTATTTCACAGAAGACACATGTCAGGAAATTTTTGGTGGCTCTTTACGATGCTTACAAGGGAAGGGCAGGGGGAGGATAGCCATTAGTGGAATCTGAGAAGGAAGTAATTTAGTTAAGTTGTCTGATCAATAAGATATTAAAAATGAAGAATACAATTAGAAAATGAAAGGCCCCTCTACGTAACAACTGGGCAGATAAAATTTAGAATTCAGTGTGGAGAATTTAAGTTTCATTTAGAAGTTTGTTAATAACTGGTTCTAGATTTTTTAAAAATACCCTCCTATGCCATATTAAATGGAGATAGTATGTTTAATATACCATCATGGTATATTTAATTCCAAAAAGAAACAAGCCTTTGTTAGCGCACTCCATTTAGCTACCCCAACTATTCTGTTAACTTCAACAGAGGGCTCAGAGGATAGGGAGGACTTCAAATCTCAGAGAGAGTAGCCTAGAAATTGAGAAAACAGAAAGTCACAGGCAATATCCTTCTGTCAAACCACTCACACTTTGAATCCACAGACAAGGCAATAAAGATGTGTTTTTCATTTTATCCAAACTGATTATAGTGGCAGCTTAGATTATAGAGTAACTGTGCACATTGGTCTAGTCAGCTTCCAGTATTAAATACACTCGGGACAAATAGCTTTCCCTCCACCCCAAACCCATTCCTTTCACTCTTTATATTAATTCAATAACTATTTTGATAGCCAACCATGACTAGTAAATAGAAAGGTCACATTTGACCTCACAGTTTAGATGAGCAGCAGGCCCTTGCATTGGCAATTCCCCACCAAGAATGCGTTTCCCACGTATCTGCATGGTTAACTTCTTTACCCTCAACACCACCTTCTTAACGTCTTCTTAATATCACCTATCTACCAGATCCAAAAATCTTACCATTTATTTCTTAGCACTAATCATCTAGGAACTACATAATTTACATTTGATGTATATTATTGGTCCCTCACTATTAGGATTATGAAGTACATAAATGCAGGGATCTCTATGTTGTTCACTGATTAATATTAAGCAACTAGAATAATTTGCACAGTGTATTTGCTCAGTATTCATGGAGTAAATTTGTTTATGCTGGTACTATGTTCCCAATAGATGAATGATTCTTACATCTCCACTTCCATTCTGAGTCCTTTCAAGAAAATGTCTCACAAACATTTCAACTTGGAATGCAGAAACAGTTCTTTACTTCTTGAACACTTGTTTATCACCTGTCTTCCCCATTATGATCACTGACACCACCAAGAACCCAAAATGGACAAATCAGAAACCTGAGTAAGATGAGACCCAAAACTTTTCATGTCTAACTATTCACTAAATTCAGTTACTTCCATCACCTCAATATATAAAGCACATGTAACTATACTTTCCTATCCCTGCTACCAATGTGTGCTCAGATGCTCTTAATCTAGCCATCGGACTCCCCAGTAGTAAAATACTGGTCTTCCTGATTCCGGGGTCACCTTCCACACCCTGCAAACTATAGCCAGAGTGTTCATTCTGATAAGTCACCTGATTTAAAAATCTCAGTGGTTCTGTATATCCTAAAGAATGAAGTCTCAACCCTAAAACTTAAAAAAAGGCTTATTTATGACTTTGCTCGTGCCTTTCCAGCTTCACCTCCTACCAATTCCAGAAGTCTCCAGAACCTCCAGGCACA